GGAAATCACTGTACCGAGAATATAGAAATACAATAATCTGATTATGTGATAGTTATACAATAAAAATGCAAGTAGTCCGCGAAATAGCTTCGAAATCCCAATTTGTTTAATACGCGTTCTGTTATAGCAGTAGTCGTTATTTCGTTGTGGATCCTTTGATTTATCCATCTCATCATTTACACTATCCTCAAAACAATAATCTGACTCTATGACTGAGACACTTGACCAGGTTTATCTTGTACTGAAGAGGTGTAAATCTATGGAAGTGGGTGTGTTGGCTGCCTCAGACATTGCGAATAAACCACATTTCACAGTACATTCCATCTCTCTGGAAAGGAGAACATCAAGAAAAGCTATACTGTAGCCAGTTTCCTCTTCGTTGTTGAAATTAGTGTCTGGATGAACGCACTCGAAACTATTCGAAAGTCTTTACTTATCGATGCGATAGTCGTACACGATTTGCGTGTCATTTGCATATCAACAGAGGTATTCAAACTTATTCAGAGCATCTCGCACTGGTCCATTTTCTAGTTTGCATAGAACATTACCAGTGGTTATTGAATCTAGAGAAGGTCTCATCGATTCTCCATTTATTTACCTCCAAATTCGTTATTTAATATGAGTTGGTTATCCTTGATGCGTATCAGCAAAAACTCACTTATGTTCATCGCCAGTATAAGTATTCTTGATTCATTTCTTAAAAGTTGTTTGCATGTGTAATCGATGGTTTCTGTCAGTGAAATATCCCTGAAACCATATGTAATGTCTGAAGAAAACATAATTTTATCAGTAATATTTTCACATTTTTACTACATCTACTAATTAAAGACATATTTAACGATATATTTCATGAAGTTTCGGTGTGATTTTTCCTGTAATTTCACCGACGTTTACACTATTGAAAGTTACAGTGAGCTTGACATATTTAGAATCAGAAGTGCAGTAACGCTGAGTTGTGAACGCATTGCGCGAATAATAAACTCATGTAACCACATTGTACCTTGCCTCAATTTCATCAGTAACCGATTCACTAGCGATAAGAATACATCCAAGATAACTGAAGAAATAAACACTCCAATCTACCTTTATCAATATAGAGAAACTATATACTGACACAGAACACTCTTTCAAGCGAAATTTCCAACTGGAATTAGAGGAACTTGTTCATGCCATTCTTGTATTGCTAATAATAGTTTTCAGAAAACTGAATTTTATCAATCTATTCCTTGAATAAAATCAAGATAATCAAATACTCAAAGCCTATAAAGAAAATACGATAATTCACTAACTGGAAGCACCGGAAGAGTTCAATCTCACTAAAAGAAACCAAACAACAATGAAAGTGGATTCGATGATAGCATTGAATCTATGAAGATCTATTCCTATTTGATACACCACAGGTAAAATCCAAACAAATGAGAAAAAACTAATATAAACCAGTTTCAATAACACTATTCAAGGATGCTAAAATATTTCGAAAACTGATGACACGAAATTTAAAAATGATATACATATTGAATGGTATGAATAACTATATTAGTGTTTCATAAAACTCTGAAAGTAAAGCGGAAGCAATATATTCTACCATTCGAAATGTTAACATCAGTAACGTTTATACACGTAAATGCAGCGAGTCCGACTACAGTAGTATAAATTACAAAAAAAAACGTATTAAAGTGGTAGTAAAGAAAGCGAATTACAAAATAGTACACAACACAAAATGTAAGGACATTAGAAAGAATGATAAGAATAAAGAGGTTATATTCACTAACAAATCACAACCATATACGGTAAACATTGGAAGGAAAACATCAAACACCTATAAGATAACAATTACAAAATTGAACTTATTAAACAAATGTCTAATGGAGTTCCGTCGAGGTTGCAGATGAATCCACTGTATTTGGGGAGGAAAGAACTTCATTAGCACGTAATCTCTGTGTAATACTCTCTTCTAATTCAACTATATATACGTTTGAAGAGATTCAATTTGGCTCAAGACATATCTTCTCACCGAACTAACATTACGCTTAATCCTACATCGACGAAAGGATTTACAACACAGCTTAAGAAAACCCTGTATAACAATGTAATCACGAACAAAATCCAACAGTTTTCGCTTTCCTGAGTTTCGCATGATACTTCAGGCAATCGGTGAGACCAATCAGATTGTCCCAAGAAATGATACAAACCATCAAATTATTGATTTCAGTTTCCATCTCAAATGTTGTCCAGCTCTGTTTTATCAATACACTAAAAACTCACGAATTAGTTATACTTGACATTTATTTGATCGATGAGATTCTTGCAATATGACAAGAACATCTACACTCAGATTGATCACTGTACGATTGTAACCGAAATGAAAAGTACATTAAAATCTATGAAGCTTCACTTATTTATTTTCAGGATAACATTTGTTTGCGAACTAATTTTAGGTCACCATAATAACGTCAAACTGAAAAATTCAACATATAAATTGTTTATTCAAACAAAATCACTTCCAACTATTTTATTTGATGCAAAGATTTTTCACGAATCATATGAAACTCATATTATATTTTGCATAAAATAAAAATGAAACATGATAATTAATTCATGGATTGTATGGTTGATACATATGAACAAACTGTCAGTTCATCCAAAACAATTTGTAGATATCTAACCGACCTCAATTGATATTATGCAATTAATTAATCAAACCGGAAGTAAATTTTCCATTATATAAACGAAGCTGTGCACGAACAGAATATGGAGTAACTCGTAAACTCAACAACAGTTATTATCAACCATGTCTTCTCACGGATGTAAGTGAATTATACTTTATTTTTAAATTATGCTTTAACTCAAACTATTGTAATGATTATGCTGAGGTAATTGACTAGTAATAAAGTTTGTTAGTATACTGAGTCCAATTGTCCAACAGTGTAATGTAAAACCACGGCATTAGTAAATATAGAATTGATTTCCAGTAGTCGTAACACATGGTTCGTTTAGAATGATGAACTGGTAGTGGTTTAGCATGTTAGTAGTCGAAATAGCTCAATCGAGTATCAACGACACATCATGCCATTGAATTGGGTTGAAGTAGTATTATGCATTTGGATGATTTGATTGTAACTATTTAATTCTCAAATTCTACCAGCACATGCGAAACCATCAGTTTGCTGTTGTTTATATCCACTAACTAAGTACTATTGCAAAGTCTTGATCATGCTAAATACACTCATTCTATCCAACAACTTCGTCTAACATATGGGTTTGCAGTAAACTATGTCTGTTTCCTTCACAAATTCATTCAACTGAAAACAACTAATTGTATGTTATTAGGCAAATGGGTGAATTATTGATCACACATGGAATCCACGTCATATTTCACATGATAAGTGCTTGTGAATACTTTGTGTCAATAGTCACGGGTGGATCGTGCACACTTTTGTATCCTCCTGATGACGGATAGATGCACCTGACAATTCGTTGATATTTCCGTCGGAAAATGATTTTACCGACCACTACTTCAAACGCCTGACAAATGTTTACACGACCAAAGAGTTGAGGTAGTTATACAACATTTCAAACGAGAAAATCTATAGTATGAATTTTGTTTTCAAAGCTCGAATCTGCATTTCCCAGAGATAAACTTCTTCCATAACTCAATGATACAATTCAAAATATTCGAGGTGTGCTAATTCTGAGATGCAAATACACTTTCCAATGAGTTCTAACAAAGCACTAGTTCTACACGCAAGATTCTCAGCTAATCGCCTCCATTATCCCATACCCAATACGTAGTGTTTGTAAGTTAACTAAAGGAATTCACCCCTCGATACACAGTATATGATAATAACTAGGCAATAGCTTTCCACAGTTATCATTTTTCGAAGTGGTGAGAGTCATTTGAAAAGAATACATCTTCTGCAAACCGAAAGTGAATTATCGATGTGCAATCACCACCTATGGTTTCTCATGGATGAATTGAACTCGTTATCTATTTGATTGCCAAACTAATTCGTTTAAACAACTCATCGGATTCTGCAGTTCAGCATGTTCTACTCACAGGTGATCACCTTACTAAACTAGTTAAGAGCTCACGGTCAAAGTTCCATTGGTGTGTCATCACTCATGATGGAGGCCTCTTTCATACACTCGATATCCAGTCTAGTACTAGTCTCACACTCACCCACCTCCGGGCATAACCAAACAAACTATTCGTCATTAGTACTGCCGTATTTGATCTATTAACCAAATGTGTGGTTAACGAACATCACTGAGTACAATGTTCAGAACACTTTTGTACCAACATCACCCAGTTCTGAAGTATACACTTATCTTCATTGACTTCCAGTATTGTCCGGAATGAACCACACGAAAGTGCGTTGGACATTTGCAAGCAGTCATCACATTTCAAATTGGTTTACAAGAATAATGGACAGAAATCAACTGACAATTGGGATGCTAGCAACAATGCTTGGTGATTACCTTGTCTACTACTGTCCCACTGGAGCGTCATATATTCAGCTCATATGTCAAACAATCATGTCAAAACCTATAAATGTGCCTCGTGTAGACTATATAGTTTAGGCTCGTACATTACACAAAGCCTAATTATTTGACGTCCGTAAATACTGACTTTACATTATATCAGTATGAAATGCTTTCAACAGATTGTATTCAAAATCAATATCAGTAGCTAATTTTTGAAAATACAAACCATTGACGTACCTAGCCATGATTATCAATATGAAACGACAAACAATCTTGACTGTTGTTTAGGGTTACAGAGTTATGTATGAGTTTGGGCTAACGCTTATTTCCGTCCGTGAGTTCCAATAAATTTGTGCTTTAATCATAATCCAGTCACGTACTAACATTGGTAAACATAAATAGTGCAAATTAAAATATTCATTACCAGATACACCAGATGCACTAAGCCATGACTGATCTTTTATTATAAAGCGTCGGTTTTCTGTTTTTAACTCACACACACAAAAACCAAATGGATGGCTCATCCACACAGTAAACCTGATTCATTGAATTTCTTTATATTCTTCACTTCAGCTGGACATCATGAACATGGACATCATGAACATCATGAAGAAGGCCATCATGGTCATGAAGGCAAAGAGCATTGCACATCATCTGAACACTGTCCGAAAGACTGCCACGACAAAGATGCTGCTGGTCATGGATCTCATGACAAAGCACAACATTGTGAAACTGGCTGTCATAAACCAGGATCTGGAAAAGATCACGGTGGTCACTAATTATATATAACAGAAATTCCTAGATAGTTCATCAAATTATTTCTTTAAAATAACTAACACAAAGTAACTATTGACATTTTATTAACAATATAAATTCCAAATATACATTTTTAATGCCTATTCACGTTTTGTGGCACTGGATCTGACTCCAATTAGATAATATGATTGATTGTTATTGAATGATTGCTGTCGAAATATACATCCTGACTATTGTCGTACATAATAATCGACTTAAATCGTGTTGGTTAATAACGGAGTAAATAAGTTAACTACGAGAATGGATGTTTGGATGTGTATATTTTGTATATACTCATTGATTCGAACAGACAATCAGAGAAATGAAGTGAAGAGAAGAGAGCCAAGCAAACTAACGAGCACTGGAGAAGGCATGTGAGCCAACTACATTTAATCAAGCGTTAATCAATATTTATAGCCAGATAAAAAATAAGTTACAGAAATGTGATGAATGTGATAAGAAGTGTTCACACACATTCGCTCATATAAAAACAATCAGGGTTGATAAGTGAATAATCAACACGGTCAAAACGTGACTCAAAAAGAATGGTTGAATTGACCTGTCCAAAAGCTAGAATAAGTCACTTGTGCTTAACATTGTAACTGACACTGGACAATTTTCGATTTTATGTAACGTTAATTATTGTGTCTAATCCACTATTTTATTAAAGTTATACTCACATTAAGTAGAGTATTCCGTAGTAATGTTCTCTCCTGCGGAATGTCAAATCGATTATAGTCGTCACACAGTGAGTGTTACATCCAGTCGAATGTTCCGATCTGGATGAGTCAGATGAATTGGCTACAAACACATACAGTGCACATGATTCGAAATCTTGAGTGAATGACTGTTACAACGTGGTCTAAATAGGTTGTCGACTTTAGTGTGAGATACATGTTCGATATTATTTCATTGTCTTAATTTTTAAACTGTGATGAGTAGATGTAGTAGTACCGAATTCGGTAATATGAACTGGTAACTCTTAGAACTGTTCAATATATTTGCAATTACAATGATGATACACAACTCATAAGGAGTTATCTAATTAGAAAGGGAAATCACAAAATCGACTATCTCTTTCCCGTTCCCAGTCGAAATGTTTCACAGGTTTTCAATTAAACAGTCGATAAAATAAATACACTGAGGAGTTCTATAGAACGAATATGTGGCTGATAAATACCCGTACAGTTATCAACAAAGATTGTATTAGCCTATTTTCGGACAACTGAAAGACACAAAATATTTATCAAATGAAAAAACATTCTACCGAGTGTAAAGTGAAAAAATATCCCATCACGGTTAAAAATGATAGACGAGAACTGAGATGTTCCAGTGTAAACCACCAAAAAAGAGGCAGTTGATGTATTTTTTCTCAATCGTAAAGTGTAATTAATTGAAAGGCTTGATTCGGTTATTCGACCATTTGACCTATGAATGTAGTATTCATATAATATATCTGATGATTTGAGACACGTAGGTTTGAGATATGACAATCAAGTACATTTATTTGCAAGGTAAAAATCTGGATAAGCCAATCAAATATGTGCGAATGGTATAAGTCCACATCGGTATACGTAAATCAGCAGTTCATGTAGCCCCAAACTCCGTCATCCATTTCTCATAACGTTCAACATCACTGGCTGAAACAGATCTGCATACACGACCGACTGCTTCTTCGAAATCAGCCATTCGTGTCGGCTGATTAAGTGTAGCAGTATTAAGACCTTTGATTTGCTCTACTGAGAGTCCTTCTATAGCTCGTCGCATAGACATCATTGAAGCATCTCTAGGATAATCAAAAACATATCACTATAAAATCGGGTGGAATATTATGTAAGTAGGAAAATATTACTTATACATTAAACTTGAAAACTCCAACAAATATGACATTTACAAAATCCTAACTATGACGAGTGAGAATTAATAAAAGAAATTCGAATTTTAAGAGGACGAAAACCAGCAACTCTGGTTTACCAGTAAAGTCGAAAAAACCGTCAAGTGCAACGAGCAGAACTAACTTACAGTTTATTTGTTTTTGATGACAACTGAAGTAGGTTATAACATCCACAAACGCGTGTTTCCTCGATTGTAAAACTACACTTCATCAGTTGTCGATAACAGACAAAAGCTTTTACTTCAAAGCTTCTCACTGATTCCTCTTCGTAATACACTTTATATGTTAACTGGGAAAATTGTAAGCTTCTCAATCACAGTGTGTGTTGAGTAAGCAACTTAGTAACTATATTCAGGCTCATGGAATAGGCTGAGAACCACTTCATTCATTCCTCAAAATATGATAGATAGAATCAACTGATACTATGAGTTCACAGTTGAAAGTCATGTGTAACGAAAATGTATAGTTATATACACGAGTTAACTCAATAACTCATTAAATCCTCCATATAATCGATTGAGTCCAATATCGATGTCGTACTCTATCTCCGGTCTTCAGTCCCACAAACTAAAGAACAGAGAAGGCAAGGTTCTATCACTGTATTCCACGCACCCAGAATAAGAAAAGACAATGTTCACTTTCTTTTGACAATAGTGAAAAAACGTTTAAGTTTGTAGATAAGTACGATACCACATAAAAACAGAGACTGGAATTGGAAGTGAACGAAGTGCAAGAAAAGTAGTTACAGAAATTTTGTTATCTAATGAATTTTAGATTCATGAATTTTTTATACAACGATTCTTGAAGACCTTGTTTATCCATATATGTTTTGTTTATTTGTTTCGAAGTTATTTCACCTCATGGACTGAAATCAAAAGGAAAAACAAGGAGGTATTTCTTTTATCTTAGTTTGAAACGCACACCAATTATGCCTTGTCAGACAGAACCTAAAAATTTCATGTCTGATGGTAGAAGTAACATCATTCAACCGCAAACTCGGCATCCCATAAAAATCCTCCTTAAATTCTATAGATTAACAATATAGTGTAATCATTATTGTAAACATTAAAGATACGTTACTGGTTTTCTTTTAACTCTGAAAAATTTATTTCCGAACCTTCGAAAATTGCCTCCATAAACAAAAACCATGTTCTCAAGAGTAAGTTGCTATGGGACGAAGTTCTCAGAGTTTTAGCGGGAAGTTGTGAGCTAAGGAATCAACCACGTAGAAAGTATTGTAGTTATTTAATGATAATATCGGAGAACGGTTTCTCAAAACTGCAAAACGACTTAAGATGATAATGGTGATCACACGATTCGAAACCAATAGTTAAATGGAACTGTATTTACCATGAAAATTGAAGGCCTCAGGAACAAACAAGAGCAAAACAGAAGTACATTTCTATTTCAATAATGACTTTTGTTATATGGTTTTGTTTGTTACAAGATTTAACCTTCTCAGTTCGGAGTGTGGAAGAATTTCCGGGTATACATTGTTGAGCTTCAAACTAAGAAAAATTAAAATATGACCATTTTCTTCAAATTTGAAGCTAGTGAAAACAATATAACTCCAATCTAAACCATACCTCCATAGTCAATTAAACATTATTGATGATATTAACTTTGAAATTCAGAGGTAACAAATAAACACCAAAATTTGTAACTGTTTATGTACCTGCATACATTGGTTATGTCTGCACCGGAATAACCATCTAATTGTTCAGCTATTCTTTCCAAATCTACATCTTCTGCTAACGGAACGTCTTTCAAATTGATTTGCAGCAGAGTTTTGCGTGCAATCACTGAGGTAAATTTAAATTAAAACGACACAGATTGACAAAAATCTTAGCAAATCATTTAGTCAAAGAGATTTCTTTTTATGAATTGTGTTGAATAAAACATAGTTCAAAAGTATAAAATCACTTAAGTAAACAATGCACGATTAGATGATTGTCAGTATTCCTCCTGTCCAACAAATATCAGTTAGAACAACATATATAAGCGAACAATATTGTTTTCGATTGGATCCTCATCAGGCTTTACTCTAATATACAGTTATATATATATATATATATATATATATATATACGCATATACGAAATTATTAAACCAATCAAGGCAGTTTATGAGTCCATGATAACAGTGGAATAGATTACATAACTAAAAATAATAAGTGAAAAGTACAAATTGGTGTTGGAGGTGTTCACTAACTCTTTGGTTCAGTTGTCAGGTAGTGCGCCCAATATAGCTTTCTCCACAGGAGCAGCTGAATTCGCAAATACACATAGAAGTGGCATAACCAGGTAACTTATCCTTCAGTTGAGGAATCACCGTAGATCGGGTCGAGTACGATAGACAGAGGTCGGCTGCATTAAATGTTCTCTTCACTGCTCTAGTCAGTCTACCACCTAGTACATCACTAGATATATCTCCGTTGAATTACAGTTACTTAAAATTACTTGAAAAACAAATCAATGTTGGAATTCCCGAGGTTAGTCTTGAAGAATTACTTCTGAAATGTACAATGAATGTTTTTTGTCTTTAATAACATATATTCTAGACAAATTGATGGTATAGCGATGGGTTCACCTCTAGGTCCTATCCTTGCTGATTTTTTTCTTGCGAAACTAGAAAACGGAGCTCTCAAAGATGTTATCAATAAGCTTGACTTCTATTGTCGGTACGTTGATGATACTTTGATTATTGTCGATCAGGACATCGGAAAAGAAGAACTACTAGAACTATTTAACAACAAACACCCAGCAATTAAATTTATATGTGAAGAGGAACTAGATAATAAACTAAATTTCCTTGACGTTTTGTTAAACAAAAAGCAAACGGTTCTATCATTAGAAGTGTGTTTAGGAAAAGTTCTTCATCAAGCCAGTACACACACTTCTTAAGCTTTGAACCCCTTCACTATAAGAGAAACTTAGTCAAATATCTGGCAAATAGAGCTAGGAAGATATGCTCAGTCGATTCAATTAACAAGGAGTTAGAGGTCATACATAATATGTTGATTGAAAGGGGTTATCCACAAGGTTTCCTGAAGAAACACTTGCGTGTAACAAATAAGAAAATAGAGATATCAACATCTAGTAAGAAACCTCTCTTCTTGACTTCCATGACTTAAAAGATTTCTGACAAAAAACAGCTAACAGAACATTATTACCTATATTCATGTCATTTTATAAAACGTGGTTCACTTCAAGAAACTAAACGTTATAGTGTTATAAACGTAAAGGATGCTGACTATAACGCTAGGGGTTCCTGTTATAACAGTCTTTTCACTTTCTACACGTATGTGGGACGTTAATTTACCTAGACGAATATCTACATTAGATTCCCACCCAGTGTCTACTCTACAGGACTTCAACACAACTCAAATCAAGAACACGAGATTAGCCTGACTAGAACGTCAATAAATTTCCACACCAAAATCCGACACAAGAAACAGTTGATCAACAGTCGATCTCCCGACCGTTGCTGCTACCTTGACGTGGTGGTCGGGCTTGCCTATCGTGATGAAGCAATCGAGCTATATTGGCTGGAACAATCGTTCCTCGAGGTCCTACCATGCCAAACAGGTCGGTTGAAGAGCGGTAAGACTAAAAGCAGCAATCCCAAGGTCCGAAGGCGAAGTCGTACTGCCGACTGTACAGAGGTGTGACGGCAGTAAGGTGTTTCCTTCAGACAACCAGCATGACAGCGATGCTGCCTTCCCACAAGGAGGAGTGGGGTTAGAAAATGTCGACCCTGAAAATGCACACCTCGCCTTATCCCACGGATTTCCGTCTCCGGCGATAAGGTCCTTTGAAGAACGAAGCTAACACATCAAAAATCCCCTACAAAAAGGCCGTGCGTGACCGACCTCAAGCAGTTGTCCCTTGGGCACTGCGGTCACGCTCCCAGGTCGTTAAGACCAACACTAATCCAACTTCTTTTTCAGGTCCCTCAAGAAATACCCTTCCACGGTGTGGGCTACCTGGTTGGGATTCGCGAGATGATAGCAATTGATGGTTAGAGATCTTGAATGACATGGCTCAAAATCGTTTGCAATGGCGAAGGTGCATCCACTCTTTGTGTTCTCTCAAATTCTAACCTTTTGAATTCTTCATGTCGCTATCCTTTTTCTCTTTCCAAATTTATTTCACTGTATTATACTCCTTCAATAACATCTTCAAACCCTTATCTTTCACATAATACTTATACTCTTACTACTTCTACCAATATGGGATTTGAATCGACAACTTCATCTCTGTGCTAATGTGGTATGGCGACTCGAACTGATGTACGTACGTACGAAGTTCTACGTTGTAACTGACTGACTGACGACCGACGATCAATAAGTGTCCATCAACAAGGAACAGTCAATACATAATAAGGACAGGGGAATATATATAACACATAACACCTGTCATCCTATCTAATGTCTGACTCATCAAGACAACCAATCACTGTCGTTCTCGCCCACACATATAGTCTCTCAACCAATTACAGCTTTACATGATGATAAAAAGTACTATTGAATAGTAAATATGTGGAAAACCAAAATGAACTTCAGTGAATAGAGTGTTTATTACAACTTCCATGGTAAAAATGTGATGTCCACCATTATAAAACGCATATGAGGTCGTAATTATCTCGGCTTTTTGACGTATCTGACTAATTTTAACATGCATTACTTATTAATGACAACTTTAGACACACAGGATCTATGACTATCAAGATGTCTATTCGGTCAGTGATTCTGTACTAGAAAATGACATCAACTGAAATCATGTGTTGTTTTAAACATCATATGACTGGTACCATCAACGACTCTGTCAAATATATATATATATATATATATATATATATATATAATTCCTTGGAAAAGCTTGGACCAGATTGCCAGGCGAAACGTTGGATTTACTTCAAATTTATTCGCTGAGATTTTACAAACATATTCTTTCTATTTAATGTCTTACACCAACTCGGCGCTCAAATACTGTGAAACTATTCGCTCTAATTTAGACGAAAGTTCTTATATAGAACTGTATGTCAATTTTAAAGTCATATATTTCAATGTGGCAGTTGATATGGGTATCATTACTACGTAGAAAGTTCTCATTGTTTCTTGAGTAGATAGTAACATGTTCAGGATGAGATTAGCAGTTCATGAGTTAGACTTTATAATGGACCGAGTAAAACTATTGAATCAAATCAGAATGATCTAAAACACCTGTACAATGAACCTTGGTTTTCAATAGCTTTGTGGCTCATGATGACAGCGATTCCCGTATATATGTAGATGTTAAGTTTAAGTCTTCATGATCAAGATTATATACACAAACTTTCATTTTATATAACTTTATAAAACAGAACTGCTAGAATGACTACTATTTCCAGATTTGTTGACGTTTAATTATGGAACATTTAAAACTGTACATTCTACCTTACGGTATGGCATCCCAATGCCGATGACAAGATATTTTGGAAAATGGGATTCATCAAAGGTTGGGCCTTTTCAAAAGGTCACATACTACACTTGAAATCTACTATAGCATAACATTTATTTGCTTTCCCATTTAGATCAATCCCAATGAGACTAACTTTCAGAAATTATCTATCACTTGAAAACCTTTGAAAATGGTGAGGCACATATCAATTTTGCGCGAACATTACACTGTTGAAACAGATTCATTATAGGATTATCACAATTGATATGACAATATTCAGTTGATAAAAAAATAAACTGTTAGAACATTAGGTAATATGTGAAAGTCTAAAAGATAGGTAGAATAGAAAATAGTGAGTATAGGTAGAAATAAGTGCTACCTAATGTAACAGACTCTAAATAGAGCCTGGTCAAGTTGTAAAGAACACTGAACGTAAAGTAACCGCGAAATTCCACATAAATTAGAAAAACCTAATATTGTAAGGCAAACACTTCACAGAAATATCATACCATTTGGAAGTGGTATGTACACTCGTTTCTCAAGACGTCTACGCAAAGCTTCGTCAATGTCCCAAGGGAAATTCGTAGCAGCAAGAACCATAACAGATTTTGTAGGATCCTCTTCTTGTCCTGTAGCTCCTGTTACTCCTTGAGAAGTAAAGATAAATTTATGTACAGGAAATACGTAAAGCAATACAACAAATATATGCTCATTTGCATAACTATCATAAGAAATGAGATTAAATGCCTGAAGACAACAAAAATGGTTAAAATGAAATTTTAAACTTCTATGTGGGTTCATATTATAATTTGTTGCCTGAATGCCCTGTTAATGTATAACGTGATAATACCGCCAATTAGAGAGCAGTGATTTATCGGTCGAACCAAGGACGCACAAAACCCGAGTGAGCAGTCTGGAGTACTTATCGGCCCTGCTTTCTACCTACCCAAGCCAGTTAAGTCCAGAACACCAATCTCAACCTCTGCGGTATGAATCATTTATTTCAAACATACTAGGTTTATATACCAAACAGACAGACCAAATCGTACCACAAAATAGGAAACCACATTTGTACAAGATTTAGCCAAATGCGGCTGTGAATAAGGGAGATAGTAATTGATAGACAGTGCATAACTCAAGAATGGTGAATCGTACTGCTTCTGACTAGAGCTCCAGGAAGTACCTCATGGAGCCAGTCACTAGTGAGCATATTAGTGTCCAGTGGAGTTCAACCAGGTTTGTCGTGAGATATCAATTCACTGAAGACATAGGCGAATGGTTGCTCAATTTCGTGGATTGGTTGAAGTTAAACATTAACACCGTTGGATGCCGGTTCAGTGGTCTAGTGGTTAAGCACTCGCGCGCGATACTGATTATACAAGTTATCTTGGTTATTATTCAGTTTATTATTATGACCTTTGTGTTTGTCGCTTTTCTTCATATCTATCAATTGAACTATTATCTGACCCATAAATTATTTTCTTCCTTACCTTTTGATTAGTATGTAACCTCATTTGTTATTTATTCTAGAATCAATTAGTGATGCAATCTTTCCTAGCCTCCTATAGATATATGTTTTCCATATGACTATATATACGGATGTATAGCTTAAGCAAATGGTTTCGTCGAAAAGAAAGTTTTCTTCACTCAATTCCCATTTTCTTAGTAATTAAATTTATAAGAGATAGTTTCAATGAATCACAACCATCTACTAACACCAAGATGGCTAAATTTATTTCGACTGTCTCAGCGTCGATACACTAATTCCTAAGTAGTCGTGAGATATTCTATATACGATTGTAGAACACAATTACTGTTACAATTACCATTAGTACTGAAGAATTAACACTGCAGTGCTCCACACTCCGATTTCAACAAACACTGATGTTAGCGGGATATAAATTGAACTAAAGAATGTTGGGGCACGCTAATTGTTTTTTTCTTTACCAATCAGCGCTAGCGGATACCCTAGAATCTTCTTATATAAAAATTACAAATATTCCAACGTTTTGTATTGTGATTCATACTTTCATCTAACCTTTTTATTTGGAGTATAATTATGTTCCTGTTCAACCATGTCCTGATTTAGGGACTTGTCGAGTGAAGTAGTGTCCGAGAATACTAAGCAATAGGAGTAGCTGATCGTCAGTCGTCAGTCAGTCAGTTACAACGTAGAACTTCGTACGTACGTACATCAGTTCGAGTCGCCATACCACATTAGCACAGAGATGAAGTTGCCGATTCAAATCCCATATTGGTAGAAGTAGTAAGAGTATAAGTATTATGTGAAAGATAAGGGTTTGAAGATGTTATTGAAGGAGTATAATACAGTGAAATAAATTTGGAAAGAGAAAAAGGATAGCGACATGAAGAATTCAAAAGGTTAGAATTTGAGAGAACACAAAGAGTGGATGCACCTTCGCCATTGCAAACGATTTTCAGCCATGTCATTCAAGGTCTCTAACCATCGGTTGCTATCATCTCGCGAATCCCAACCAGGTAGTCTACACCTACCAGCATGGCTCAGTCCACTTGTCAGTGACTTCATGGATTTGTGCCACGCTTTGGTCTGGCTGCCCCTAGCATTCTTCCAACCTACTCCTACACCATAAAACATTGTACGTCGGGGCAGTCGGTGGTTGGGCATACGTAACATGTGCCCCAGCCATCTCAACTGGTGAAGTTTCACTACTTCATCAATCGATTTGCCATCCTTACATAGTACCCGTTCCCTAACAACTGCATTACTTACCCGGTGGTCCCAGGATATACAAGCAATGCTTCGGAAACACCTATGGTCGAACACTAGTAACCTACGAATGTCCTCTACTCTTATCGGCCATGTTTCACTGAGATAAAGTAGGACGGAACTAACTGCTGCACAGTAAACCCGTCCTTTTGTTGCTAGAAAGATATTTCGTCTACGCCATAAATGGCGCAAGTTGGCGAAAGCTAGACGAGCCTTCTGAATCCGTGCTGAGATTTCGTCATACATCAGACCACAAGGGCTGATGAAACTCCCAAGATAAGTGAAGCTGTCGATGCGCTCAACTACTTTACTCCCTATCATTAGTTCAGGTGTCGATGCAACCCAATCCTGAAGTAACATTTTGCACTTCGAGGGAGAGAATCGCATCCCGAACATGCCTGCATTGTTGCTTATGGTGGTCAGAAGACTGCAGTTTGTCAACGTCTTCATCAAATAAAGCTATGTCGTCGGCGTATTCTAAGTCAACAAGTGAGCCTCCTGGTAAAAGTTCAACTCCTGGAGATTGAGATGATGAAAGCGTTATCTCCAAAAGCACGTCGACGACAAAGTTAAACAAGAATGGGGAGAGTGGATAGCCCTGACGAACACCACTTGAGGTAACCAATTTTGATGACAGTTCACCATAGGCTCTAACTCGACCAGTTGTGTTCGAGTAGAGAGCCTTTATGAGGTTAATGTACTTCTTTGGTACTCCTTTCACTGACAAACACTGCCATAGAACCTCACGATCAACGGAATCAAATGCCGCCTTAAGGTCAAGAAATACTACTATTGTGGGACGTCTGAATGTATGTCTTTGTTCTAGGACCTGACGTAGAGTGAATATCTGGTCTATGCAACCACGTCCAGGTCGGAAACCAGCCTGGTTTTCTCTAGTCTGCTATTCGCGAGCTTTGGTTGGGCGTCCAAGTATTATTGAAGCTAATATTTTAGACACTATATTAGTCAAACTGATCCCTCTGTGGTTGTCACAGGAGGACTTCTGTCCTTTCTTATAGACTGGCACAATCAGTGATTGGGACCAGTCAGATGGAATTACGTCCAGTTCCCAGATTCTATCTAAGACCTCAGTCAATCTCGTTGCTAGTACTGGACCACCATCCTTAAAAATCTCAGGGGTAAACCTGTCAGGGCCTGCGGCTCTCCCTTGCTTTAGATTTCCTATAGTTTTTTCAACCTCGTAGAGAGTTAGAGGACTTACCTCAATTTGCCATTCAGGACGACTGGGGATCGTGGGTAACTGAAGTGTGGCTTAAGGCCAGTTGAACTGATCCCTAAAGTGTTTTGCCCATCGATCCAATCTCCTGGATTGAGAATGAATAATATGCCTATCTTTATCTGAGATGGTTTCACTGATATTCGGGCTACTAATACCGGTTTCTTTAATAAGTCTGAATAGCTGTCTGCTATTACCTATTGCCGCTGCCTTTTCCATCTCTCTTGCTTTCGCTACCCACCACTGTTCACGATCATTGCGTAGGCTTCTTATTAGCCTGTGCTTAAGCTGACTCCGTTCGTCGTTATGTTCAGAGCCAGGTGGGATGCGTTTTTGAGCATCTATCAGTGCGGTAGATGCTGTCGAGATCCATTGTTTCTCCCTAACCTTTATGGCTTACCTTACTAGCGGATATCACTGCTGTTTCCACAGCTTTTCGGATGCCATTCCACGCTGCTTCGGGGTGGACACAACTTACATGTCTGTCCAACTGTTATCTAGTTGTTCCTGAAATATATTCTTAGCTTGCTTATCATTAAGTAGAACCCTTAGAGGCTTCCCTGCAGTGTCTTTCCTACGTCCAGTAAGACGCAGACAGATACGTGCTCGCACTAGAGCATGATCTGAGTCTAAACATGTGCCCCAGAATGATCGACAGTCTTCTATCGAGCCCCTCCATCGGTAGCTGATAGCGATGTGATCTAATTGGGTCCAACGTTGGGACGAATTCGGGGGCCGCCATGTTAAAAGATATTTTTCCTTATGCTTAAAGTTAGTATTTGCAAGAAATAGGCGGTTATCTGAGCATAGCTGCAACAGACGGTTGCCATTATCTGTTCTTTTCGCCATGACACCATAAGATCCACCCAGGTGTCTTTCCCTTTCACTTAGTTTACCTACTTGAGCATTAAAGTCACCAGCCACTATTACTACATCAGAACGTCTAACTTTTCGGAGAAGGTCAGAAAGTTTCCTGTAGAACTCATCTTTTATATCGTCTGAGCTGCAGTCAGTGGGAGAGTAGGCAGAGACGACGAAGAAGCAACGACGAGTTTCCCCATCTTTCCGGGTCCTTACTGATCCGTTTAGTCGGACAGCGCATAGACGACTGTCTACTGGGATCCAGTCTAAAAGAGCTAGTTCTGCCCTAGGACTTAATGCTATACCTACTCCAGCGAGGCCACGGGAAGCAGCATTAGGGCTTCCAGATACACGAAGCGTGTATCGAGATGGTTCTTTATTTTGATTAGGTGAGGTCAAATGAATGACACTACTCGGATCTTGTATGCGCGTTTCGGAGACACAGCACACATCGATGGTGTAAGATTCTAGAGTCCTAGCTAAGGAAGCCTGTTGTTCTATTTGGCACAATGTTCGGACATTAAAAGTTCCTATATGTAGTTTAGAGCGTGGTTTCAGGAGACCAGGAATAACGTTCCGTGTACTTGAATCGTTTGCCCTAGCGGTGCGAGGTGATAAAAGGACGTGGGAAGGGTTAGTCGTGGAGGTAAGAGAGTTATTAGGAGGTGTAGGAAGGATTTGAAAGTGACCAACTTGGTCTCGTGTGCAGTTACGAGTATGGGGGCTAATATCACTTCCCGGCTGCCCACACCGTGGAAGGGTATTTCTTGAGGGACCTGAAAAAGAAGTTGGATTAGTGTTGGTCTTAACGACCTGGGAGCGTGACCGCAGTGCCCAAGGGACAACTGCTTGAGGTCGGTCACGCACGGCCTTTTTGTAGGGGATTTTTGATGTGTTAGCTTCGTTCTTCAAAGGACCTTATCGCCGGAGACGGAAATCCGTGGGATAAGGCGAGGTGTGCATTTTCAGGGTCGACATTTTCTAACCCCACTCCTCCTTGTGGGAAGGCAGCATCGCTGTCATGCTGGTTGTCTGAAGGAAACACCTTACTGCTTTCACACCTCTGTACAGTCGGCAGTACGACTTCGCCTTCGGACCTTGGGATTGCTGCTTTTAGTCTTACCGCTCTTCAACCGACCTATTTGGCATGGTAGGACCTCGAGGAACGATTGTTCCAGCCAATATAGCTCGATTGCTTCATCACGATAGGCAAGCCCGACCACCACATCAAGGTAGCAGCAACGGTCGGGGTAGCTGATCGTAATAAGAGAAATTGTAACAACTGGTATTCAATACCAAATCTCGTTGACGATATACGTCAGAATTCGTAAGAGAATGTTTCCAATATAAAGTAATTGATTTATACTAAGATAAGCATTATGTCAGACTAGTGACCTTATGATTCTACAAACTATATATAGCACCCGAAAACGTTAGTTGATGTCAAAGAGAGTTGTATTTTGGATCGTGTATCATGTTAACTTACACATTAAGTGACAAAACAAAGGTAAATCATTTAAACAAAAGTCTTTTGGATTCACAAGAGATCACATAGGGATCCTTTGTTTGACTCATTATTGGCCACTTCTGAATTCAGATTTCAGTAAATGCGTTCATTATGCTTTTAACACATTTAGTTAGTATAAGCTAATTGATTGCACAATACACGAGTTTTAATTAAGTACTGTGAATTTGGACAAAACGTAAACATCTGCTAACATATTTGTACATGGTTTAATCTTTTCAATAGCATAAACTTGAAAAAATCTCCTCGACACTTTCTGGAACTCAATTTTTGAATTGACTGAATGAAATATCATACTATCAGGACTTAACCCCATAATCATAAGAATAACTAAGTGCAAAAAAATCTTAGGACTACAAATTCTCCATATAGTTTTTTAAGGCTACCGAGGTGGTTGAGTAAAAGTTATTCTAAATACGAGCTGATAAGCATGGGGCAACTCAAAATAAAAAGCATAGAATTTGGACTTATGTATATCAAGTGAATAGGCCAACGTAATAAAGACTTGTAAATTGAATATGAAAAATTTAACCAACCATCATATTGGTTATTTACAAACTACCAGAGTTATTTAAAAGAGTTAAACATAAATTTAAATCCTTTGAGAATTAGAGTAAACTCTAAAAAAATTTTCTTGTCAGTCAAATCAGAACATACCATCCATTTGCACTAAAAGTTCAGATTTAACACGGCGAGAACTTTCGTGTTCCGATTCACTACCACGTCGAGAACAAATTGAATCGATTTCATCCATGAATATTGTGCTTGGTGCGTAGAAACGTGCCATGTCAAATAAAAGACGGACTAATTTTTCTGATTCACCTCTCCATTTACTTGTTAGACTAGAACTGGAAACATTGAAAAATGTGGTGCCACATTCTGTCGCAACAGCCTTAGCCAATAATGTTTTGCCCGTACCAGGTGGACCAACCATTAATACTCCCTAAAAGGAAATTGAAAACAAAAATACAAACGTTAAGACGCAGACTTCCAATAAAACAGTAGTTTCTGTTAAAAATAAAGGTAAAAAGTCAATTTAAATGATGCAGCTCATCAATAACAAAGATCAAACAACCATTTACAAGTTTTTACACTACATCTCATTGTGATTCACATACTCAACTTTGAACTATGCTATATGTGTGGGGAATGGTGATATATTAAAAACACACCAAACAACTTACTTTCCATGGTCTACGTATTCCTTTAAAGAAACCCGGAATAACCATTGGGAGAACTACAGCTTCTTGAAGTAAACGTTTTGCATCATCTAATGCAGCTATATCATCCCATCGAACATTTGGATTACGTTGAACAATATCGCGTTCTAGTGTTTCCACAAGATCTTTGTCGTATCCAGTAGCATCAAATTTCTCTTCATTGTTATTGCTAGCAGTGCTAGTATTATCCCCAGCGGGTTGAGATCCAGATTTGACACGACGGTTATTTGCTGAATAAAGTCAATAGAATAAACTATAAACAAACCAAAAACAAGACTTATCTGAGATAAAGAAGTCCAAAAATGGCTACTCCCTATCACCCACTTCAATAAGTTGTCAAACGATGCAGAAAAATTAGTACAAAACTTAAACAATGACTTAAAATAAGCGTATAGACATATTAATGCACACAAAGATACAGTGTTTTTATTAGGCCTAAGGAATAAACAAAGGATTTCCCGGCAACCCCAATTGAACAGCGTGGATCCAAGTGAAAATTATTTAATCATATTAATACGAAGTGTCTTGGTGACATCCCTTGATCCCCTACCTCCAGGGTTTATTCTAGTTTAAATCAAGGAGGTGAAACATAACGCGATTACAAACCAGAAGACGACAATAGTTCATTAGTTTTTCATAAGATACAATGGTAAAAATTTAGAGGGCTAAAACAGTAATTCGAAATCACGGAAATTAATAGTTTTAGTCTCCAAACCGAACTGTTTAAAATCCTATCTGTGGCTTTGCTTTTATTAACGATTCAAAGATAATATTGCTTCAAACCAATACTTTACTCCTATCACCCTTGGTGGCATAAAAACGTGAAGAATATAAGATTAAGTGTAAGTACATTTGTTCAACAAACTTGCAACATCATGGTAAAAATGTCAAACTAAAAATCATTATCCAAATGTATATAACTCAAAATGGTTGAAGAAAACAGAACATGAAATGCGAATAAGAAAGCAGAAACATTACCAGAGGTTTGAGCGGTACCCTTGGATCGAGCATTCGTCGGACTAGGTTTGACATTGCGGCGGAATGACCCCGCAGTATTGGCAGATGACTTAGAGTTAACGGACGGAGGAGGGGCAGCTGAAGCATGAGCAACAGGTGGTTTATAATAAGAGCTAGAAACTGAATTTGGCTGAATATTTGATCCAGAGTTTTGAGAACTATTTCCATGTCTCCGTTCTAGAGGAGGGGGAGGTGGCCAAACATCTGGATCTCTGGTCGGCTCTTCAACAGCTGAACGAGAATTATAGCGACTAGCGAAGGCGCTCAAACCAGAGTCATCATCAGATACTTTGAAACTAGATAACGTTTGGTTGACGTCTTTAACTAATTCATATTCATCTGTAAGCTCTTGACGTACCTACGACAAACAAAATTTAGTTATTATTTATTTAAACACATAAATATTGGTACAAGAAAGCACCAGATACATATGCACCACACAGATCTCATTTGATTTGAGTGAGGGCTTCGATACTGCCCAGGTGCCTAAACTGAAGCGGGTGATTTTTTTAGGGGGCCAAACCCGGAGCTTTTGACCTAAAGATCTGATCCACAAGGCAGTGGAGCATTGTGAGGAGATGCAGTCCCATGGTAGCCGGTGACCAACGATTGATTCATATGCCATTTGTTCCCTCAGGATACTGGAACCCATATGCACCATTGGTTTGGAACCAGGGTTTTCCAACTCCCCTAGGTGAACTTTCCGTGTCAAACAACCCGGTTAAAGTGCCGGACATCCGCTTTTCGTCCTCTCAATTTTCTAAACAACACCCTGATGAGAGAAGGCGGTGAGAAGGACTTCCTTGGCAGAGGCTATATACGCGTGGTCATGTGAGAGCATTTCGAGAGGGAGAGCGGACTCTCTCCACTCTCAGCCGTACCAGGGCATTTGGGGGCCGGCAAACGTATGTACTGAAAAAACCGAGCAGTAGACACTAGACGAGTATATAAGGTCTCGTAGTGAAGAATGAAGGCCTACAGTTGGTTAAAATATACTTGGAATAAATATTTTTAAGAAATTGTAACATATTGCACCGTCGTACCAATGTCTCAGTGTGAAGGAAACGAGACATTTCAAAGACTGGAACGACCAAACAACTTAAACCATCATTTCAATGTAACCCATCTACCAAGTACAGTTGTGCGAACTCGGTTACAAGCAAAACTTTTTGTGTGAGGGATAATGATACAACCTGATGGAACGATGGCTTAACAGTTGAAGCAGATGACCAGTATGCCACAAGTTCGAAATCTGCAACACGTGGCTCGGTTTCGGTAACCGGAGAATATCACTAGCTTTTACAATATATTAAGAATATTACTCAAGCAACGGTAGATAACAAAACTTACAGTTTGCCATTGTTGTTTTCGGTTTGCTTCAGAAATGGAAACAGTGAACTTCTTAAGCTGAGCAAGACCAACAGAATAATATGTTAACGAACTTTCGTAGTTTCCAAGCAAAGCCAATTCTCGTGCTTGCTTAACATTCTCAACTATTTCACTCAAAGACATTACAAGCGAGTTGAGAAGTCGTGCACAACTAGTGTCGACAGATAACAAACAAATGGAATGGAAATGAATCCATAACAAGGAAGTCTTTTGTGGAACGAAACTGTAGAAAATACGGAAGATAAAGATATCATGTCAAAATTAAGGTATGGAATTATTAAATGGCTTAATCAATGGATAATGTTACATAAAATAGAAGAACCGAGTACGTAAATTAGTACTGACACAGCTTGATCAGAACCCGTTTCAATAGATTCGAAGCGCTGCTTGCGTATCGTGGAAAAACGGAAGAAGCAATACTGAGGTTAGGTCTACAAGGGTACTAAGTAAAGGTGGGAAAGTAGCATACGATGTTTAGGATTTTTCGACAGACAACTGTGATGTGTTACCTTTCGCCAACTACAGCCGACCTTGGCCCAAGTTGGTTAGAGTAGGTATGTGTTGCAACAAAACTATGGACTGATAAACCAAGACGCAATTGCAATCGGTGTTTAAGAACATCGAACGACATGGAGTAGGTGATAGTAAGATACACACTGTCTTAAGCTTGAGTATAGTTTCGAATGTTTTACTACTGCAATTTACGATGAGATTATAATTTATGGATTACCTTTGAGTGACACTGAAGTGACTTTGAGAATGTCCACCCAACAACTAGCACGAAATGAGAGTTGTAAGGTAGGAATCAAAATTATGATTTAGTTGATGGGTAGGGTTAGGAAATAGATTCAGGGTTTTCATCAAAAACTGACATCAGCTAAAATGTCAAACTCTATTAATCCAAATGGATGAATGAATTTTGCACCAAAACCCAAGACTTATAATCTTATGTCTGATTTGTACATCCATAAATCGTAGTCCCGCCCTTTTGGTACTCAACTTGTTAGCTAAATCCTATTGGGCCGATTGTATATGGAGACTTAGGTTAACACATTTTATCTCACCATTGACACTGATTGTGAGGACGATAAACTTACGCGATATATTGAGGATTTAGAGAACGTGATAATAACTGCTCAACTGGCAACTAAATTTGATACGCCACTAAATAGCTTAAGACGCGACTAAACATTAAAATCTTGACTATATGAACTTCAGAAAATGAGTCGTTAAAAAGACAGTATACAGAAACGTTCTGAACGGCATATTATTGATATCCGAAGGACCACTCACAGCACTTAAGAAGAGGGCATCGATCCTACAAATCTGAGGAAAATTGTCCAAACAACCAAAACTTGGTGGTCGCACAATGGGTGAAAAGCTACAACCGTTTACCTTGGAATCAGTTCGAGTTCGGTAGGATTAAACTATACTGCCGAGCCAATCAGAAGCTTTCGCGGGTTTTCAAGGTCACGGCGCTAAGTTCGATAGCTGATGCTTACGTACGGTCGGTTTACAGCGGATTTTAGGGGAGACGTGATAATTTAGCGTCTACAATAGAAGCGATCATAAGATTTTGGCGCGAAATTCAATTATCCATTTGGATAAATAGAGTTTTGGCATTATAGCTGATGTCAGTTCGTGATGAAAACCCTAAGTATAATCCCTAGCCTTAATCATGAACTGTAAATCATAATTTGAATTCTTCACACAGGTTTATAACCCTCATTTGGTCCTAGTTATTATGTTGACACTCTCAGAGTCACTCTAGCGTCGCTCAAAGGTTGTCCATAACTTATAATCTCACCCATAACCCTACACCTAAATCTTAACCCTAACCCGTAAACCATACCAATATACTAACATTATTGAAGCTATGTGGTCGGGGCTAAAAGAATTTTTGAGACCTTATCATGGTTTCAGAGGTCGACTACTATGGAGCCATATGGATGTGTTCCTGTACCGTATGCACTAAGATTTTAAAACTTCTGAACCTATATCTGACCTTGAGAAGTTTTTGACCCATGTAAAAGAAGTGTTTCCACTTTAATTCTTTGGTTTTGTATAATATATTTTTACTGTATACTAACTGTCTTCTGATTGGCTAATATTTCTCAAGGTCATTGAAAATTCGTTCAAAGGTCGGCAGTATAGTTTAATTTTACCTCGAGTTCTTGTTTGAACAATCCGAATATTACCAACCCAGGTCTTGAGTGACGCTGAGAATCACCTCAGGGTTTTCATAAACATACAACATAAACTAATAAATTGGAGCCGAAAATGTAGAAAAGCTTGATTGAAAATCGTGATCCACTTATTAGTAGGTGCAGAAGTTGGTGCATATAAGCACGAATCTGTAGATTTTTAATGAGACTACTAATCGTTATTTTGATTATCGTTTACCAGTTCTAACAGTATTTATGTGCAGAATCGTTGGAAGATCAACTGTTTTAAGGTACGAAATATTGGTCTGAAAAAAGCTCACTTTAAACAATAATTACTTGGAGCTCAATTGCTACACATATGTGGACCTTGCCTGAATAAAGCAGTACAGCGACTGAAACCCCTAATTTCCATCTTAAGATATTTTACACTCGGAGCTGTAGATTCTATAACTTTTTGGTTTAAACTAACGGCCGAACTCAACCAACTTGTTTTTCTGGAGGGTCCAACCTTGATGAATTATAATGCCCGCAGTGTGATTTTAACATTTAATACGGATAATTATGAATGGGAAACCATCAGCATTCACTCAGAGTCGTGGAGCAAAAATAATTCCAGAATTTAATGCACGCAAATCATATGAGGTGGATGATGTTTGCTATCTTTTACAAAAGTTTCAGGCTCATTTAATTTGGAAAGCTTTATTCATGTAAGCTTCCTCCAACAGAAATATGTGTCTTTCTGCCTAAATGACTACTGACAAAATCCTTATTCCGTCATGCCTCCCTTTTTCGATGTCTTCCTGTTGTTAGAATTTAATAAACTACCATTGTTTCCGATAATGCACAACACTTGACCAGACGATATCAGTAAATCTTCAAGACATCACCCACAACTCTCATCAGTGACAGCCCAAAATAAGTTCAACTGGCGTCCCTTTATAAACTATAAGTCCCTGACTATCATTCCATACACCACATAATATGGAAGGGATATCTTTTCCGGTGTAGGCACGATTAAATTATAGGTTTTGCTGGTAAAGTGTTGTCAAACAACAATACCTCTGGCATCCTCACCGAACATGGTTGATCACACTGCCTTTTATAGCCAATCATGCACTATTAAGTTTGAAAAACACTCTTGAAAACTTAGAAGGTAAATCTTTCCGCCTATCTTCAACTGTTTTTTTCTGGGCTTATTTAACTTATGACTAAACAGTTTCCTTTGATCTAGAGACATAAACTTGATTGTCAGTCTAACTTGAGACGGGCCACAAAACAGTTCTCGGGATGGTGATGACTTTATTGTAGGGTCTGGACGCTCCTAATTGAGTTTCTATACTGTCAAAGTTTTTTTGATGTTACTGGTTTTGTGCATCGTATGTGTTTACCTAGTCAATTATTTACTTGCAACGTCAAGCATTCTTGTATATATGTACATAAATTCACTTCACATTTGTTTATCCAGAATCCCTACGATTATGTTGGCAACTACGACCACATGTACACCAGGATAAAAGATAAGTGCATCTTTTAAGTACGTTATTGAAACTGATTCTCTAATATAACTCTAATATAACTAATATAACTTATTCTAATATAAATTATTTCAATTTTTCATTACACTGAAAGAAGTCACAAGTATTCGGATTTTGACAACGCCTTAACACGTGACGCTTTTATAATCAGAGTATACCGACCCGGTAAACTCAGAAGCCATAAGTGAATGGGTTCCAAGATATTTTTGGGAGTTATCAATATGGATAGATGCGTTTAGTCAAAGCTCGCTAGCAGTTGTAAGGGATGAGTAGCACGGCCTAACCACTCATGATCTGGTGCGGAAGAATGCCGGAGCGCCTTCAACTAAACTACCCGCGAAATTTGAAAGTGGCAACATTTTTTCACGTGGTTTAGAAATTCTTAGACTTGTTCTTTTGTAGGCTGTATTGTCCTTAGATTATCATCCTATCGCGTTTATCGCTCACACTTTACTCTAAGTTAATAAATTTTAACCGACACTTGCCCAGTTAATAGTGATTTCACTGATCAGTACTTCCCTATATTATAACTGAACACTTTTTATCTGTAATACGTTATATACTAATAGTCTCTGATCCTATTATTAACCCGGTTAATACGTAGAAATAATTATATACTCATATATATTTGTTAGACAGGTTTTTAACTCATACAGCTTCAAAATATGTTTTGTAACTCGGGTAAAAGAGAGATTTCACCAGCTTTCAAGCTTACTAAAAGGTTAAAGTCCGTAACTCCTAGGACTGATGACTCAGTACCTGAAAATGATAAGCATTTATCCTTTGAACCCCATTCTACCTACCCACAAGTATCACCAACACTGCCTGATTCTCCATGTAACAACCCCTCTATCTCTTCGTGCAGTATGCCAACGGTAAGACTAGTTGACATAAAAAGCGAAATGCCCACGTGCATCAAAAAGTCAACACAGTCCATCAGACCGCATGCTTTACTTAGGCCTAGGTCCAATATACCAAAAACCAAGGAGTCTAACAGTGTATCTCACGTATACGAGAATGCTGATCGATATAGTACTGACATTCGTCAGTTACAAAACTCCCTAGCCGAAATTTACAGTAGACTTAACCAACTGGCACCCCTCACACACATATGGGGTATTAATACCGATAAAAATCTCGAACAACTCACTAAAGCTGAGTGTATTTTGGAGTTTGTGACTGAAGAAGTTACGAAAAGAATGATGTCTTCCCACAATGCAGTAGTTTACAATCTCCCTGATCGCATACGCCCAAATAAGTTGGGGGATATCTGCCTTAAAGCATGTGATATGCTGAAGGTCAACTGCCAAGTCATCCGCCTTAGAAAAAAGTCGGATAGATTGACTTCCCCTTTACTATTTAAGTTTGACTGTTGTAACGATGCTAAACAGTTTATCGATTTGAGCAAAAATATCAGCTCATTAGTTCCATACAAAAGCATTAAAGTCACTCCTGACCTAACACCGTGTCAACGTCGTATAAGAAGACGTGAAGCAATAGAATCGTATGATAGAGTAATAGTAAAAAATCAGCTAAAGACAGTATGCAACAAAATGAATGATATAAAGCGCGTGGATAACAAGCATGATGTTATACCACAAACGACTGGTCCATCCGTAGATCTAGATGAGTCTGCAGATCAGAAATCTTTAAATAAAATACGGTCCCCATCTGTCACTAATAAGCGTGACGGCATCTCTGATCCCGGGTGTTCGCTCAGTATAATACCAAAATGTGGGCCATGTAACGAAACACACCCAACTAAACATATTCATGTAAAAATTGATTCCCCAAGAGGATTCGAATGAACCTAAGTTCATCTCACAGAGACAAAGAAATCTTTTATCTCTGACAAAAAAAGACTGGGGAGATAAAATCCAAAATACGAAATAGGGGGACACGTAAGATTGAGGCCAACTGTTCTGTGGGTATCCCAACAACAGTGAATAGGTTCTACCCGCTGATATCATGTAACTTGCTATCAACACCTCGCACAATGGGTAGTACGCATGAGCGTAACAAACCTTTTTACACGCACACTCACAAAAACTATCAGAATACTGATCACTCCACTCACCTTCTTAAGCCTAAAACCGTTAATAAGCATGGTAATTACAGGTTTCTCACCCCACACCCTATGTACATTCCCCAGAATCACAATTGTAATTACTCTCAGAATGAGAACTTTCCAGTATCAACCCACCACATGAAGACAGCCTCCATATATAACAACAGTCGTAACCACTTCCAGTTACGAGCATCAGACCCCTCTCATGATCGCACTAGCGCAAATAGTTATAACAGAGGCT